TTGTAAATCATATACTACACATTAGGTAAGCCGGCCATGAAACAAAATAAAATCCATTTTCAATACCAGACATTGATGCATTTATCTGTTATATAAAACAATGGAGTTTATTGTGCAAATGGCAGAACTGCCACAGCTATCGGTTCTCTAAAAATGTGGATCAACCTCAATGTGTCTGTAACATCCCCTTTGAACAAAACGCTATCGTAAATGAAAGGAAATTCTATAAGTACATTTTACAAGTGTTGTAAACGCTTTTGTTTGTCATCAAAGAGCAAGATAAAATGTTTTTAGGAGTACAGTAGATGGACAACAAAACATACGATATTACACTTGGAAACCCCTTAGTCCTTAAATATTCATCAGATATTCTTCAGATATTCCTCAACTACTCAGCTTATCTTATTAGCTTCAGGTACCCTCTAGCTCAGATACCTTTGTAATCATCAGATATTTCGTATATACACTTCTATCGTAACTCATAAAATCCTTCGAAATATATTTAGATAACCATTAGCTACTTTTCAGAAACCCTTCAAATACTTCAGTTATTCCTTAGTTACTCCTCAGTTACTCATAAAATATTTCTGAAATACACGTTCAATACCTTTAGACATTCCCTCGTTCGATAGTAATTTAAATGTAGTTTCTTGTAAATTTCTATACAATTACGTTTAGAATCACGTGTGATCCATACATGGTTTATTCTAGAGTATATTTAAAACTGTTTTAGTGTGACGATTACTCATCAAAACCATTTAAACATGTTTTATAATCTAAGTTATAGTGATTATCAATAATGTAAAACGCACACTTGAATGCATACTGCATAGTTCACTAAAATAAAAAATAAACTTAAATCATAATAAAATAAAATATATAAACATTATATGTGTACTCACCAGACACAGCCCGCTGTCCCTTAAGTCTCCGGGCGACACTAGGGCTGAGAGGGGGAGGTCTGTCCACCGCCTTGGGGATGGTGAGGGGTGAGGGGGTCCTCCTTGAGAGAGGGTTGCACCTCTTGGACTCTATGGACACCATGGAGTCGATGGAGGACGATCTTGGGATGAAGGAGATGCCGTCGTCCTCACCGTCCCTGTGGAAGCAGTCAACTGTTACCAAACATGCGTCGTCAAATACGTTAGCTCTTCTACCTTTGGGAAACCTTTTACCTTTGTACTGATTATATTGGATCCCCAATTAAACCTTGTAGATGACTATGCAACAATGTAAATCAGCTGATTGGGAATGAAGTAAAGAAAACAGGGATACTATACTTCGTTCACAATATTTAGGCGGTTTGAGGGGAAGCTCTCCCACCACTTTTTTGTATTTAATCGTAGACAAAAAGAATTAAATAAAGACCGTAACATAGGTTCTGGCGCACACCGCTGGGAGTGCCATGTAGTTACGGCACGTAAACTACACGGCGCTCCCAGCGGTGTGCGCCAGAACCTATGGAAACCATGGTAACCACAGCACGGCTGACTGTCTATATTAACAAGTCGTGCATAGGTGCAAGGGGTGCATTCTTTTTGTCTATGATTTAATGTATGCTGCCTAATCAGCTGTTGAGCTATTTTTTTAAAGGTAAAGGTCAAGTGGATGGGATAGATTTTCTCCACTAAAACCGCCGTTTAAATACTGTGAACGAAGTTTTTGTTTTATGACAAATAAGCTTGTTTTGTTAAATATGTCTCAAACTACTTTTAAGGATTAGTTCCAAATTCTGCCACCACGTCACAGCACCGAAATGGAGTCATTTCGTTTTGGCGCTCATACAAATTTTAGTTTAGGTTGCATAAAAACACACCCTGTATATACAGCACAATGCGATGTTTACTACCAGAACCAATTTGAAGTGAAGCCAGCACAAACTGTATAATAGAAAGTTAAATAAGATGTTCTATTTCATCTAGCTGTATTGATTGGTAAATATTTCAACAATGCACGACGTTTGTTCTGGTTTAAATTGAACTCAAGTCTTTGATTGTACTCCGAATGAGGCAATCAAATTGTAGTACTGGTGAAGTTTAAATTATCTACAATGTGTTGCGATATACGTGACGTAATATATTGGTTTATGAAATAAACCTTTAAAACGTAAAACTGAATTATATTTCATGTGAATTATTATTCTTGGTAAATGGCTCAAGTAATCAGTTGTCTTGTAAAATTTTAACAAATAAAACGCTTAATGTAGTAATATAGAGACTTTTAAACAAAATTACGCTTCTTTCTTCTAGGCAGACCGAGGTTTCGAACCATAGTCACTATAAAAGCTGGTATTATAGTGACTGAACCTTTCTGTAAAAGGTATTCAAGAACTAAAATACAATTAAGTTCTACAACTAATTTAGCTTCACCTTTATGTAGAGTTACCTATCAATAAATAAGGGTTAATTGATTAAATGTCATTCCATCAATTCTAACAAAGACTACATAGTTTTAAAACTAGTTTTACTTAGCTATAACGATAAAGTATTTGATAGTCGTTACCGGAACCAATAAAGTACTGCAGTTTAAATAATATAGCTGCCGCCTTCAGAGTATGTATGCAAAATAAGTGCTGCATCCATTTTGCTGCAATACTAATGAAGGCACTAGACGTCTGACGCATTACCAGGAATAAAAGATCCCGGTATAGCAATTAATTTTTGTTTAGTACGAGGTGTGGTAATGTGATGTATATATATATATAAAAAAACCAATGTATGTTTGTTTGTATGTTTGTTTGTATGTTTGTTTGTTTGTTTGTTTGTCCTTTATGGACTCCGAAACCGCTTGACAGATTGTAATGGAACTTTCAGACATTATTAAGCATTATTCAAGGATGGTTTTTGTGAAGTTTGGTGCAAATCCGTCAAAAGGGATCCGCCCCAGTGGCTTAAAGTTAATATGTTTACCAACAGGGTGCAGCAATATTTTTTTTAATTTATGAATTTGCAACCAAAAGGCGAGTGAGCGTAGTGAACGAACTTCAACCTGGAGGCGATTTAGCGTAGCTAACGAGCTAACCTGAAGGAAAGTGAGCGCAGCGAACGAGCTTCAACCTAAAGGTGAGTGAGCGTAGCGAACGAACTTCAACCAGGACGTGATTGAGCCATGCAAACGAGCTAATCTTGAAAATGAACGAGTATTTGACATAAAACCACATTGGGACAGGACGACGTCTGTCGGGCCAGCTAGTTTTATTTTAAATAATAGAGCTGTTAGTATGCACTGTATTTATTACTAAAATATCAATAGCTTTTTACAAATTTTGGTTTAAGTTACTATGTGTTTTGGTGTTTAAAAACCGCAAGTAACGTATAGGCCATTTGTATTCAAAACCAATCAATCAATTAAGATTTTCGTAACACAAAAATATGAATTATAATACAATCTGTATATAAAACTGTTTCACTATGGTATTTTTTACAAAATATTTTTTACGAAAATTCTGATTACAGTTGCTCCAACTGAAAATTCCTACATACTGGAATACAGTGAGTTCAAAATCTTTAACGTACCGATAATCGCAATCGGTTGAATCTGACCTTATCATTTCGATTCAGTATATTAAAAACACATGACACTCGAAACTGTCGATAATCTATAACAATATCAGTATGGCCTAGAAACGTTATTGTGTGCTGTGGCACCAATAAATTAACCTATTTCTTTCCTTTTGTATAATACACAAAGAAAGTTTAAATTAATAAACATTATAGTGGTTTATTCCTAGACAGGGAAACAGTTTGATATTCTACTAACTGTCTAACTTCGTAAATTAAATAACAGTTTGGCGTAGTGTAAAGTAAATGTTATTTGAATTTTTAACTAAAAGGTAATATAAAAATCATTTTTAGTGCCATTTCCAATACTGATGGGAGTGTTATGAAAAAATGTTTTAAGCAATTTGTTAGAGTACCCGTTTTTAATATAAAACAACTCGCATATGAAATTGTAATAAGACAATTATTGATACATCACCTTAAAACAATTGCTACTCAAAACTTTGCCACAATAAATTGATTTAATATTTTTGTTAGCATACATAACGTAAACATGTAGCCAATTTTAGTGTTTAAATTTGGCCGTAAATTTTGGGATGTTTTTTTCTTTCAAAAACAATTTATTGACATTTTTGTGACCCGGGGAAAGTTACTGTTGGAAGCAAACTATTGGCAATCCTGTCAAAACCTGCAAAAGTGCTGAACAGGAATTGAAAAGAGTATTTTTGCAGAGTCAGATTCAGTTAGTGCTCAATCATTCAGTTTTCAAGTGTATTCTAACTTTTATTATGCTGTGTTGAAAGTAATACGTATGGCAATGCAGACTGAGGTGCTTTTTTTACTATATTGTTATTATTATAAAAAGTTACAAGCTATATACTCTTATATGATCAAATTATGTATGCTTGCACAAGAATCTCTAAAACGGCTTCAACGATTTCCTTCAAATGTTGTAAATAATTTATTTCTAGCCTAAAAACGTGTTAAATGCAGTTAAACTGCCAACAAAAATCTAATTACTTAAAATGAAATTGATAGCCAAGCATGTTTAACATTGGCGTTATGTGTTGCTAAGTAACCATGTTGGTTGGACAAAATAACAATAAAAATAAACAACAGAGTTGTAACATGTGCTTATAACAAGCCATCCACAGTAAACTAGCAAATTACAAAATACAGTACAAAGGGAAAACATCAGCTGTAACTATTGATAGAAGATTACACTAAAGATTACTCGATATAGGGATACAATGGGAATAAGCTATACTTTTAATACTTTAAATTTAAATGGTGACTATACAAAGGTAGTTATTTTAAGCCAATTATAAATGGAGATAAGTGTAGGATGAGTGGCGCGATCTTGTAGTCCTGTTACTGACTAAGGCCAACATGTTCCATAGACAGGATTGTTAATTAATAGCCCATACCAATTGCAACTAAGGGACGTGCAGTTTATAGTGGGAACCAAACCACATTTTGCCTTGTAATTTACAAATTGATCTAATTATCACGATAGTACTGCGGATAGTCGTAGTACCGAGCGATGGCTTGGTCCCAAGGAACTGTTTTTATTCTTTGATCGTCAACCAGGAATATATATTCCTCCACTATTCTGTACAACGGTTATATCGTTGCTGTAACCCAAACAACAAGAAGAATATTCGGTCTACTAATATGATAGTCAAATAGTGGAAGGTATTTTAAGGTACAACCCATCCAAAATTGAGAAAATGTATTCACAGGGTGGTAGAGAAGGGTTTTATGCCCAGCCCTTAGGGAATGTGGGATAGGCGAAATTGGAATTGCATTCGTCTTCACTGTGGTAAAACGGAATGCACAACTGATTTTTCTCATCCAAAGAAATTGAAAGACATATTAGATAATGTATATTATATTCGAAATATAAATTTAAATTTTATCAGAAATCGGAACAACGAAGCGTAAGAAATTCTTTAGATATTTTTCTTCAACACGTCTAATTGTATTGACAGTTGTGTCAGTTCTGGGAAATTTTGTTCTGGAAAAACAAAATTGGCATCACTGTCCATCTACTTTATACGTTTGAGTGTATTATAGTGGAAACTGTGGATGGAGTTAGTTAACTTATGTATGTAAAAATGTGTTAGAAATCAAGCAAACATTTGAATTAGTTTCCATATATTTTAGGTAAAATAATTTAAACCATTTAAAGTAGCTCATAAAATACTATAGGACATAAATACACGATAGGAAATAATGCACAACAGAGGAATTGTTAGTTTATACCTTTAATTCTAGATGGAAATTTTAATTCAAAGAGGTTGTTGGGTACATGATTTGAATTGTAGATAAATCTTTGTTTACTTTGGGTCCAGGATTGGCTTGAATCAAATATGTATTTCTTGCAATCAACGGCGATGAACCGTCTGTTGAATTGAAGAAAGCTTTGAAAACGATAGTGTATTATCTACTACAATGCTATTCAATCATTGTATTCGACGTAGTCAAAGACGTAGCACAGAAGTCATATTTCAAAACTAGTAATAAAAACTATCCCTTACCTAATTTTGATAATTTTTAAAAATAAATGTGATTTATTTAGCTTGTGGTAAGCAAATATATATCAAAGAATGATACTAAATTCGATGTTTACTTGTCATGAGAGTAAGGATTAAAAAAAAAATGCGTTGTATTGACCACTTGATTTTCTGCACATTATTCATGGGTTAGTAGCTTAAGTTAATTAATATTTTTAAATGGTATGTTTCAAAAAGGAATGTGAAGGCAAAGTATAATAAACTAAAGGTTTAAGAGGATAATAAAATAAAAAAAAAAATACTAAATTGGTTAAATTGTAGGAAAACGAAAAATACATTTATATTTTATCATATAAACGTTTTCGTAGTATGATAATTTCTTTTTAACGTTTATGTTTTTATACAGACCACAGAAGAAATAAGATTCAAGTGGCCTGTAAAGGGCCATTGATATCTGATTGGGAAATAATAAAGCCAACAATACAATCATAAAATAAAATGTGACTAAATAATGTACAGTATTTTTGAGTTATTTGTTACCTTGTTTGGTAGCCTTTGTTCTGGTAGGGTTTTTAAAAACTTCAGTGTTAGAAACCCTACCAGAACAAAGGCTACCAAACTAGGTAACGAATAACTCTATTTTCTAGTTCTTGCCACTGGGAAAATAAATAAAATCAGAGTATTTTAATTGTGAAGAATCCATACACCACATTGATTGATAATTAATTGAGCCAGAAAATCCACGAATTTACTGACTCTAAACATAGCCTGTGGTAAGTAAAACAAACGATCGATATTTGATGGTATATTCTATGTTTACGTTTAACCACATATACGTATATTATACATATGAACCAGTAATAAAAACTAGAATAAAAAAAAGGTTATGAGCTGTTGAATTCGCTGCTACAAGAAATATTATTCAAAAACTCGAATAATATTTTTGAAACTGTGTCAGACGAAAGTCAATGTCGACAGCAAAGCCCACCAAAATGGGGATATAGGGTGAAACTTATTTCACCAACTATGATCTTCCGGTTTTATTTTCTTTTTCTTAAAAAAGAAAATAAAACCGGAAGATGTATCCGATATCGGGAACAAATCGTGTTTCTGAGTGAAAATAAATTTTGACACCAGATAGATACGTCACGCCGCAAGGCTCAAATGTCAAGACATGTTTGTTATATTGAATGCGATAGGGTCCAATTCAGTAAGGAAATTATTGTATTACATACAATTTCGCCTTATGTATTTTTTGGCGACTATTAGTCTTATTATTCGAGCTGTATTCTGTTCTAAATCACTATGATGTTTCGTAACTCAAAAAACTAATAATGCAGATAATTATGTGAACGGTAAAATTGAATTTTAGAAAAATAATTTTCGGATAGCAACCAATAGATCAAAAACCTAAATTTGTTTGGATGCAAATAAGTTTTTTGCTAATGTTTTAGATTGAATTTCGCATAGGCACTAACCAAAACCTAAGTTAACCTACCATGATACACTTTGTACGTTATACAAAAGCTACATAAAACCCAAATTGGCCTTGTAACGATATTCCTTACCCACAAAGGTTTTAGGATAAGGAAATTTAAATGGAAGAACGATTCAACAATGTTTTACAGATCTAACATCCCCTTTGACGTCAAAGACGACCAAAATTCAACAAACGGAAATTCTGTCAAAGACCTACGAAGTTTATTCAAAGACCATTGATTCTTTCGTACTTTTTGACTGATATTTATTTAAGTTTATCTTAGATTTGTATGGGATATAAGATCACAAGGTATTAATTGAATGGTAGTTACTGTTATACTGCAGGATCAGAATACTAAACGGAGAATATTATTGGGCGGATTCAATTTAATTGTTGAATAGAGAACTAACAACCGTATGTATGCCCATTGTCTACGAGTGCCCAGTATTTTTGCTGTTCAACACGACAATGCTACAACTATAGCTAATTTTTTCACAATAAAGTAATAAAATATGATTTAAAATATACATACATACACGTCAAATATCTATTGGAAATACCCGATTACGCCGAATTTCTTTAGCACTGTTTAATTGTTTACTTGTACAACATTTACAGCACACCACCTATACAAGGAAATCGCCTTCAATTTACGTAATGCAATTTGAAGGCTGCACCTGTTTTGCATTACTCTCCTTGCAGGCGCTCTCCTTTGTATGGAGGAAAATGTTCGCGTACTTCATAAGACATGTTTCTTAGCTGGTGGTAAATGATAGAAAACTTTACGTGGATTTTCCACACTGTCGTGTGATCCCACAGTTAAATTAGCTGCCACAATTAAACACGCAATATACATTACAAATTGTAAATATGGTATATTACATTACGTAATTTTCAAATTTCTAATTAACTTAAACACCATAGAGAAACGATTGATACATAACGTTTTTAACTATTCAAAGGCCAACAATCAAAATTTTTAACTTGTACCAAACATTAATCTATTTTTTTTATAATAAACTAAATGAATATAGAAGCGTAGTTAAAATGATGGACTACTTATTTTACCGCCCCTCTAAATGTAGTCACATCCAAAAACATTAGTCTGTTGTATATTATTTGTATGCTGTATAAAAAGGTGTGTATTTTGTTTTCAAAGTTTCGTTAACAATTACAACTTTTTCACAAGCTAACACAAAACCACAAGAAAAGATACAAGGATAGCTACACTAGGAAATGGTACAAGGATAAAGGAATGGAAAAGGGGAAAAGTACCCTACCAGATGAATACAAGGGTGAGGTTTAAATACTTTAATGCTAAGTTATCAAAGTATTTCAACATTAACCTCTCATCTGATGTTAGAAAATTAGTTAGCTTGAGTTCAATCAAGGGTGATAATTTATCTTTCCTGAATTCCATTTACAAAATATGTTTCAAATTTCAATTGTTTATTCAATTCATCGGTGAATCTTTGTTATATAACAGTCACAATCAATGAAATCCAAAGAGATTATTTTGTACCTTTTTGTATAGAACACACATAATTTTGTTTCACGTTGTGAAATATATATTAAACTAGTGCAATTTTATGCCACGAATGACTTAGATGAAAATATACCACCTTTTTCATCAACAAGTATATGGATAACATTAGAAGTTAACAAAATATTGATAGTGTTAAAAGTAGAATGTCGATTATTCCTAGGGGTGTAATCAGAAAATTTTAACTAAAGGGAATCTGTATTTCAGGTGGTTAGGTTGGCAGCTCTCGCACGTCTGTTTAAATCCACAGATTAGTAAGCATTAACAGCTTCGTTAATCCTCACCTGATTCAATGCACCAACACTAGATTGTAATATTGAATGAATACGTGGATAATAAAATGTCTCACCCTTTATGAAGTGAGAGTTTGATCCTTTCCTTTTTTTACTCTTTTATGTACTCTTATACCCATCTTATTTACATACGTTAATACTTCATGGTTTATAAACCTTCACATTGTTTGATATTATTTGGTTTATTAAGTGTTAAATAATGTGTAAACCAATTTAGATGTTTTAAGAGTTCGCTGTTAATGTCTAGGTACTGTTTACGAGCATGATTCATCAAAAGGATTTATATGGTTTAGAAGAACGAAATTCTTGAACGGATGTTGAAAAAGCCTCAATTTTGTAGAGTTCTTTTGAATTTATTCTTTTTTTTAATTATCATAAATCATTAAAATACCCTTGCCTGCTGACTAAGCGAATTTCCATTAGCCTGATTGGAGTTTCAAATAATCTTTGAGATAATATTAGGTTTAACATATACATACTGTAGGTTTGCTTCATGGAGGGTAATAAAGTGTGTTTTGATCAAATACTAATAGCTTAGTATAAAATAAACGAATTTACCAAGTTTGATCCAAATATATCCATAAACAGGCAAACTACAACAGTTGACTTATTCTCCATAAGAATAAAATGGGGATTTTAAATTTATTACAGTATTTTTAAATTTTATCCGTTGCTACACTGTAAAAACCATAACAAAACCGTTATGTTACCGGTGTTCAAACCGTAAAAAGTTTAAACAGACTAAATGATTTGTTTATTATTTTTAACTATTTATCTAAA